TATTATCAAAAATAAAAATTATTTTTGAGAACGTCTGTTTTTTGGGTTGGCAAAGGGATCAGCGGAAAGAGTTTTTTATAAAATATTATGATATATATATATGTTTATAATAAATCTATCTATATATAAATAGCTATATATCAATTCTATATAATATTATATATAATCACTATTTTATTTAGAGAAAGTATTAGGAGATATAATATTTTAAATTTTCTTCTATATATCTCTTTTCTAAACTGAAAAGATATATAAATCCATTTTAATTTTTATCAAAACAATTTTATTTAAGAGTAGTCTGATTATCAAACTATTGATTACAGTATCCTGAATCCTAGGTTTTTGTCCTTTGAAGTGGTTCACGGATTTCTTCTCCTATCAAGACCTCTTAATATAAAAGAAAGTATAGCTATATACTTAATTGAATTTTGAAGTTTATCAGCAATTCTAATTTGTTCTTATTGGATTATGTAAACTTCTCCACCAGCAATATGCTATCAGTTTGGGATTTACTTTTCTTATTATCAAATGGTAACACAATTATATCAAGAATAATTCTATCTGATTTTAAATATTCAATTTGATTACAATCTTTCATATGACCAATAAACTTTTAAAACTCTTTTCACTAATCTCTTTGCCAATCTAAAAAAACATATGTTCTTAAAAATATTTTTTTATTTTTGATAATAAAGTCTATATATTCTCTTTAAAAACATTATTTCCTGAAGGTTAATGCCTCTCCCACTTGTCTATTTTTCCTTCTTCTAAAAACTTTGGATATTTCAATAACAAAATAAACAAAATTGTATCCATTTGATTTATGGCAAGAACACCTTATTGGAAAGAAGAAACCTATCAAAAAAACACTCTCCACTATATTCTCCCTAGGTCTGGAACTTCAGAAAATAAACCACTAGTAAATACATTTTTTAAGCTTCATAAAAACCTTGAATCTATCATAAGTAAACAATCTTCGGTCTAAAGGCAGATGAATAAGCTAGTTGGATCTATCAAGCAAATGTATATTCCAAGTTTCATAAAAACCTTGGATCCATCATAAGTTAAAATCCTATGGTTCAGGTGAGTGGATAAGCTGATAGGAACCTATCTGCAGGTGTATAATTTTTCTTTACCAATTATATATGTTTGCAATAGTACTTTCAAGTGTGATAAAATTTTTTTGGTTTTTTTGGAGGAATTTTGCCTACTTCAGTTTGATCCTGAATTTTTTGTTACACCAGAATCTTTGATTGATGATTGGTTGAAATTTTGGGACTGGTTGATCGACACGTAAAAGAAAAATAAACAAAATACATACTTCCACGTGTTCCATGTCATATTACACTATAACCGATAATGCAATTGAATAATGGCAAAAAAGCAAAATATCGAGGTGTCCTTTTAATAAGAAGTGGCTTGAAATCTTCTCTCTCCCCTCTTGGGCTGGTTTCTTTTTTTTTCAAGATCAAAAAAAGCTCTCATTAGGTTGATGATTGATTTAAATGAGTTTTTATTTATCAGCATAAACTTTTTCTTCCTTTTTATCTCTCCTTTATTTTTTAAAAAAATAAAAATTTTTTTCTCTTAGGACAACAAGATAACAGTCTGAGTATAGACTGATGTTAATTTATTGAAGTGAAGATTAAAGATATCCAACTTCAAGAAGGAGCAATTTTATCATTCCTTACAATCACATTTAGAGAGTTAGGATTTGGTAGTAATAATTATATTAATCTTATAAAAGAATTAAACTATTTATCTTTTTTTTAAAAAATTATAAAAAAAAAATTTTTGAAAAAGCATACTTTTTATAAAAGATTGTTACTTCTTAATATAGTTTTTAAAAAAAAACCAACTTATTAGAAAGTTAATAATATAAGGATATACAATTTAACTCTTTTCGCTGATCCCTTTGCCAACCCAAAAAACAAATATTCTCAAAAATATTTTTTTATTTTTGATAATAAAGTCTATACACTTTCTTTAAAAACATTATCTCCTGAAGGCTAGTGCCTCTTTCACTTGTCTACTTTTCCTTCTTCTAAAAACTTTGGATATTTCAACAACAAAATAAATAAAATTTTACCCATTTGGTTTATGGCAAGAACACCTTATTGGAAAGAAGAAACCTATCGAAAAAACAATCTCTACTATATTCTTCCTAGGTCTGGAACTCCAGAAAGTGAATCACTAGTAAATATATTTCCCAAGCTCCATAAAAACCTTGGATCCACCATAAGTAAACAACCTTCGGTCTAGAGGCAGGTGGATAAGCTAGTTGGGCCTATCAAGTAAATACATTTCCCAAGTGCCATAAGAACCTTGGGTCCATCATAAATACTACACCTTACTATGAGGCAGGTGGATAAGTTGATAAGAACCCATCTACTCAGGTGTATGATCTTTCTTCACCAGTCATATATTTAATGATAGCACTTTCAAGTGTGATAATTTTTTGGAGGGTTTTTTCTGGGGAATTTTGCCTACCTCAGTTTGACCCTGAATTTTTTGTTATACTGGAATCTCTGGTTGGTGATTGGCTAAAATTTTGGGACGTGTTGATCAATACGTAAAAGAAAAGTAAACAAGACACGTACTTTCACATGTTCCATGTCGTACCACACTATAACCAATGATGTAATTGGATAATGGCGAAAGAGCAAGGTGTCGAGAAGTCCTTTTGATAAGAAGTGGTTTGAAGTCTTTCCCCTTCTCTCTTGGACTGGTTTCTTTTCTTCTCAAGATCAAAGAAGGCTCTCATTAGACTAGTAATTGGTTTAGATGGGTTTTTATTTACCAGCATAAACTTTTTCCTTCTCCTTATCTCCCCTTTATTTTTTAGAAAAATAAAAATTTTTTTCTCTTAGGACAACAAGGTTGTGCTGGAGTGACAGTCTGAATGTAAGCTGGCGTTGATCTCTTGGAGTGAAGATCAAAGGTATTCAACTTCAAGAAGGAGCAATTCTATCATTCCCCACAATCACATTTAAAGAATTAAGATTTGAAAAGTTTAAGATAGTTAATACCACGCAGTAATAGCTTAATGAACCTACTCTCTTGTAATGAAATAGTTAGTGAATAGCTAGATCATGTGGGCAACATGGTGATCTTGGTATTAAGGATTCAAGGATCACATACAAATCTGTAACTTGTTGACAGGTGTTTTGTTATGATAGACCATAAGTTAATAATATAAAAATAAAAATCATTAAATAAGAAAAAGGCTAAAGAAGAAAGCAAATTGCACTCAACCAAAATGGCAAATGCCTTTCAACCACATATAAAAATTCTGATACGACAATGGCATGGAAATGTCATCAAGGTCATATTTGGAATAGCCCATTTCATAACATTAAATATTCCGAAGCATGGTATCCATTTTGTGCAGGTAATATAAAGTTGACTCTTGAGGACGCAAAGCAAATCGCATTATCCAGGCATGGTGAATGTCTTTCAACTGAGTATAAAAATAATAATGATCCACTCATTTGGAAATGTCAATTCAACCATCAATGGCAAAATGACCTTAACCATGTTAAAAATAGAGGGCAATGGTGTCCATTTTGTATCAGTCGAAATCAGTCAATAGAGGATATGCGTAAACTCGCGCAAATAAAAAATGGAGATTGCCTTTCAGATCAATATTATGATTCGCAAACAAAATTGGAATGGATTTGTGAAAACAATCATAGATGGGAGGCTGTTCCCAATAGTATTCAACAAGGAAGTTGGTGTCCATATTGCGCAGGTAATATGAAATTAACTCTTGAGGATGCGAAGCGAATTGCATTATCTAGACATGAGAAATGTCTTTCAGAGAAGTATGTTAATAGTCAATCGTCATTATTATGGTGTTGCTATAAATATAAACGTGAAGAATATGTCGAGAAATTTTAACAAAGTATCTTGATCCATCATCTGAAAATCGCAGACCAGATTTCTTGAAAACGCCTGTGCATCCAATAGGTTTAGAACTCGATATTCCTTACTACCATTATGGTTTTGCAATTGAAGTACAAGGAGAACAGCACGAAAAATATATTAAATTCTTTCATAGCGGAGATCCCAATAAATTTATCAAACAACAAGAGCAGGATCGACTAAAGAAAGAATTGTGCGAAGAAAACTGGATCGTTTTAAGGTATGTTTGGTATTACGAAAACCCATATGTAGTTATTCCAGAGCATCTTCGAGAATTGGGTCTCATTAAATAAACTCGAAACTTTAAATATTAATTGTTAGGTATTACAGTATAGAAAAATCACTTTTTAATCAACTGAAAAAGTTTTTATTGTTTTTATTATGATTGTTTATTATGAACTGCAAAGAGAAATATATCAATGAAATTATTGCATTCATAATTTATGTAAGATCAATCAGTCCAAGATGCCCGCATATTACAATCATTTTTAACATCAATAAAGATCAATCCAACTGGAGAAGAGCGTTTGCGTACGAAAGTCGCGAAGGTCTTTGTTCAGCTCTTGCATCATCAAAGGATGCTGTAACATCACGAACCAATAGCTAAATTTATAAATACATAAGATTAGTGGAAGTTTAATATCATAACGTAAATCCACATTAATACATACCGACCATTTCAATACACTTTCATAGAAATAAACAAAATTTTTCATTTCAGAAAATTTCCGAGGAAGATTGGCATTATCAATCTCGTTTAATCTATACGTTCCTGAATTAATATTTAGTAACAAATCATCAGTACATTCTTACAGTGTAATTTTTCAATAGAAAGAAAACACATACCACAATGATCAAGAAAATATAAATATATCCGAAGACGAAAACTTTGGCCACCGAATACATACAACTTCTTTGGTAAACGTTGCCTGCTTTTGATGGTTTCCTTTACAATATTCGCGAATATATTCTTTAAATTATCTGTTATTTTTTTGACGTCATCGGTTTCCTTTTATCTTTTGTTATTGGTCTCGAGCCTTCAACATAAATGAGCTGATACTTATCAGCATCCGTCATGTAACCAACTCCATCAGCTCGATTACCATTAGTGTGATTTTTCGACGTTATCTCGCCGAATTCATAGTGTATACCAGCAATGTACCATAAAGAAGCGTCAAGACACGGGTGAACGAAAGCATTAAGATGCGAATGTTCTATTGTGGCAATATTTAAAAGTGGGTTCTGTTCTTCGAGTGAAAATGCCTTAATACTACACATAAGAAATATTTAGAACAGAATCTGAAAAAATAAATCAATATAATGATAATGCCTACATACAATTGTGGCAATGTACGACGTAAAACTCGTACCACTGCATTCATTACGAAATCATCTTTTTCTGGTGCTTTTAAATCATCGATTTGGGAATTCCACTCCTCGGTTGTTAATTCTTGTGAAAAAAATTTTACAAGGAATTCATGAACATTTGCGGGGACCAACGTCTCTGTCATGGTATCCATTTCCGTTAGATACGATGTTGCTATTTGTCTTGAAAGTTCTTTTAAAAAGGGCGATTTTAGTCGGAGGTCAATTAGATCACCATTAGGGTATTTCGCTTTATAAATCGTAATAATCTCTTTTGATGCGTCTGAGAGTTCAGTATTTCCTAAGATATCTGTTATCTGGTAGAATAAAATCAGTGTTAAACATCTGTTGGTTTAAAGTGCATTATTAGATAACTACTTACAATATTATCTTGAATAGTTCTCTTCTCATCATTTCCTTGGGAGCGATTTTCAAAAGAATCCTCGGTCGTTGCTTCCTCTTCGTTTTCTTGAGAGGGGTTTTCATCTGTGTATGTAGTTTTTTCGGAGGAAGTTTTACCTGTAAGTAATCCACTATAATTCGGTACAATTAATCTCCCACTTCTCGTTCTTTTTTCAGATTTAGTTTTGCACTTGTTTATGAGGTGGAAAGGAAAAACGTCAATTTGTTATTTATGTCATAAATGATTGTTGATGTTCGCTATCCACTGTAAAGGAATTAATACATTAATAGAGTCACTTAATCTCACCTTTTTTGCCGGAATTGTAGCTCCTTCAGTACTCATCTTTTTTTCTTCATCATCCACATCTCGACGATGTTTCCCCTGACGATTGTCGTTGTATGTTGCTCCATCTCCGGTTGAAAGTTGGTTTATCTGTTTTACCTTCATATTGACTTTGATTCGTGCACAATCTTTTTTGTAGTTCTTTAGTAATACAGTCCAGTTCTTGAAAAACAAAGAATAATAATGAAATGTTCAACAATATCAATATAGAGTAAAGGCTATAGAGTAAAAGAAGCGTTGGACCAACGGCCCTGTCCTTTAAGACCTAAAGTCCCAGCTTGCACTAAGCGTCGAACCTAAAGTTCCTCACTGAAGACCTAAAGTCCCAGCTTGCGCTAAGCGTCGAACCTAAAGTTCCTCACTGTTCAGACAAAGCTCATTCTACTCTATCAGCACGCATACTTTCCAGTTATCCAGTATTTCCCGAGCTTTTTCCTTCTTTGTCGCGTCAAATCCAGGATTAGAATTTGCAATATCTCGAAGATCTTTATGTATAATACCCAGCACTTCTTTCAAACCCTTTGGTTTTATTTTTGTACGGTAAAAGCCTATTACTTTGAGACACGTCCAATCTTCAATTATATTGTCGCGATAAAAATTGAGGCGCGTGGTCATGTTTTTGCTCAAAATAAAAAAATCATTCATCTATTTTTGTTGTTCTACAAGTCACGGATCTGTGACTAGTGAAACATTTATTTGGAAAGACACTTATTTGATTATTAAATAATTTAATATTATGAGATTATTAGTACACGTATTTATCAACACGTATTGAATAAAGTATAAAAGAATTAAATTTAATCTTGTATTAACATGAAAAAAAAAAATGTACTTGTTTGCTCACAAAGCAATAAAACTACTTGGAGTATCTATACATACTTATGTCATTGGTCTAAGCAAGGAAAGATAAATTCAAAACATTAAAATTAGATACAAGTTTCACCATCACTATTAAAAAAAATTACATATATGTAAGGATATTTAGTTAAAAACAAAAGACTTTAAAAGATAGAAAGAAATCCTTAAGCCCAAATATTTATATTACAAACTTATCTGCAATATTGATTCAGGTATTAACTTCAAATATAAAGATTTATAGATCTTACTGGAATTATTAAATAAAGAAATTGTTGGAAAAATTGTGGTTATCTACTATTACCAATTACAGAGAGACCTCCCTAAATGCACCCTCTATAAATGCACTTACTATATTTTCTCTCTCTAAATGCATGGTCAAGCT